CAGGTTCACAGGCACACACGTGTGGATCCTTCAAGTACTGGCATGGCTGCTCAGTCTGCCTAGCACCCATGACTGGATTCTGGGCCTGCTTACCCACTTTCCAGGTGGCCTACTAGCTGCTCCAGCCTGAAATTTGCTGCACACATGCAGCACTCACAGACTCGTCCCTCATGCACACCGCATTCACAGGTCCCCCTGGGCATACCAGCACAGCTCCCCTGCCTGCCTGATACCCCGGCCTGGATCCAAGGTGCCTGTTACTCATTGCCTGGTCCAGCTTAAAGTTTGCTGGCAAATACACAGATCTTTATTTCTTTATTTCTTCTATACCTTATATATTAAAGGTACTTTAAAATATTTTAAGAATATAGATTGAGAAGAAACTTGCTGATTCTCGTAACTTTATCTTACCAGTCTGACTGCTACTGTGCAATGTGAAGTGACTTTTCATCACCTTATGTTGCCACAGGGCATTAGAGAGGAATGAATACATGAATTCAAGGTTCAGGGTGCCTCATGGGAAGCCAAGCAAATAAAATGGCATTTAATCAATAGAAGCAAAAGCAGAAAGCTTTTTCATGTGGTATAAAAAAGGCAGAGGGACTACTATGTTTATGTTTCCTAGATCTAGGGTGAGGGCTGTTGACTGTAGCAGCTAATGGTGATGGACTATATTCTTTTTTCATTTTGTACTGGGTAGTAAGGTCTTTCTGAAGCCCCATAGAAAAAATAAAGATAATGATGGTGACACAGTCCAGTAAATTAATGATCTAATGACACTGAATAGGAAAGATAACAGCAAAGTATGAAGTGTAACAAAAAAAAGTCAATAACCTCAGTGTTGGTCTTTCAGTATTAACTCTGTTGTCTATAGAAGCTCCATTTGGCACTCCATTGGAAATAGCTTATGCTTAGTTTTCCCAGGAACTTGCCCAAAGCCTGTCTTACCTAGCATCAGCTACAGAAAGCTTTGCTCTTTGGGGACAGTTTTAGGAATTGGTAAAAGAAAATGGATAATCAGAATCATTATTTACATAGCTTTTTGAATTTACTGTACAGTATGCTGTTACAAAAGCCTCTGGCCAGGAAATCTTACACTTAAATAGCATAAGCCTGAAACAATATGTTCAATTATGCAAATAAACACAGAGTGGCTCAAAAGCCCAGATGGTGTGAATAAGACAAGTACTCTACACTTAAGTGGTACTAGGGCAATTTGCAGCAACTGAGGATCTGCCCCGAGATCTCTACAGATGGGATGCTTTGCAGAACATCTGCGTTTGCAGATGCTTTGTGAGAAAAGCATGAGAAGTCACTGGGAGAATGCTGTCCAAGCACACAAGAAAGAAGAACAACAAAAAATTCAAGCCAGAGAAAGTAAACAGAGCTCATATAGTGGAGAGGGGATAAATTCATGTAGGAATTTACTTAGTAACTTCAGATAAACTAATAAATCTCTGCTTACTTGCCAAGTGGCAGTTGATTTCAGAATCTTTTAGAAGTCTGCCACTTGAAGGAAAACAATTATAAATTACCATATTTTCTACAGTAGATTTTGGTTTCGTTTTCCCAGAATGTAAACAAACTTTATCTTCAGATGTTTGAAAACTAATATGCTCTAGGGAAAATAATGAAAAGGATAAGTGACCAGACCTTTTCTAAAAAGGAAAGAATCTGCATCTTCCTGTTGCTTTAATGAAAGAAGATAACATGACTTTAAATGCACACACATGTAAAGCCATGCACCCAGGAGCAGTAACAGCAAAATGACATCTCATTGTCGAACAACTGCTGCATATTTTCAATAGAAGCTGGCTCCTTCCTTTGAGAAGTCACTTTGTAATTCCCTGGTTACTTTTGAACCTAGCTGATGTTCTCTTGCTCTTCTATGTAGTTAGTTACTTTTGGGCAAACAATCCCCCAGGCAGTGTTGGACATTGCATTCACACACACATTCCCACATTAATAGATGTTTCTGTACACACCAGTCTTCTAAAGGCGGGCTGTGTAACCATCCCAACAGACTCTATCCAGGCAAATGTCTTCCATTGCTTCATAATGGTTGGACTTGATGATCCAAATTAAATGATTCTATGATTCTATAATCACTTCAGTATGAGCTACCAATGTAAGGCAGGAGCAAAAGGGCTCAGATAAACCTTTAATTTACAAGTTGTTACTAAGAGAGAATAAAGAAGCTATCTTGCTTTTGAGTTAGTACTCAAAAGCAGTTAGTACTCTGTACCTAGCTCTGCATTGTTTCTTAAATTCAAGAAAAGTGGTGAAAAAGCTAGTGGGCTTTCTAACTTTAGCCGCAAAATGGTAATAGCATTGAAATACATGCTCTGAAGGGATTTCTGGAGTAACTATACTTGGAGAAGGATGATCTCAAGGTCTAAATAAATGTACAGATGAAAATGAAAATCTAGCAAATTAAAAAACAACAACAAAACAAAACAAAAACAAATAAAAATAAATAAATAATAATAAAAAAACTTCAGCCACTGGAAGTTGAAGTTAGAAAAGTTCAGGTGCGATAAAAGGCAAATATTTCAGGTGAGTTTCACAATCCTTTCTCTTTAAACATTTTTTTTTTCTTCCGAATAACAGGCATTGTCTTTTATACACCACATTTAATCATCAAAGTAAAACAATTTCCTGAAAAAGCATTGTAAAAAAAAATTATATAAATTTGCATTCCACATTTTTTTTCCAAATTTTAATTATAAATCTTAGTAGTATATATCTAAATTTTCCAGGCTGCAGATAGATGAACATAAGTAGCTTAAGTCACAGAAATAAATTTATCCTCGTGTATACAAAAGACAGTATGCAACTCCAGATGTTACAGATACTAGAGCTGAATGGAAAATGGAAATAAAGTCTGCTCCGATAACATATCACAAAAGAAAAAGAAAAAAAGAGAGAAGGAAAGAAAAAAGAAACAACCTAAAATCTGTTAAACTTTAGTGACTCCTTTTTCTTATTAAATGTGAAAGCTGTTGTACTCAGCAACATGTCATCCATAAACCTTAGAAAAGGAATCATTGCTAATTAGGAATATAACTGGTGAATACAAGTGTAATTATTTCAAGCCGCCTACAAAAATCCTCCTAATTGAAAAGAATTAAAAATTAGAGGGGGCTCAGAAGAAGATTTAAAGAGTTGATAAATAATTGACATATGGGCTGATTCGATTAAAAAGAGATTAACATTAAAGAACTGGAGCGACTAGATGAATGTCACTAACTAGACAGCAAATGGAGGAGGCACTAAATACCTGTAGGTAGCAAAAAAAAAAATAATAAAAAAAATAATGGTGGGAGTAAGACAAATGCTTGCTTTTTGTTCTGAAATCAACTCACTGAAGAAGCTGGGCACAGGCAAGTATAGCATGGATGTTATACAACCTGCATATTTTTGAAGATCAAGAAAGATTATTCACCTCTTTCTCAAAGATAAAACACTCAGGGTTTTGGGTTTACCTTAGATAGTACTTTGGTGTGTTTTCCACTTATTTTTCTCAATTAGCATACAAACTTCTCTTCATAAATTATTTCTGTATTGGAACAATTGAGTTCTTTATCAGGTGAGTGAAGTGAATAGGGAATACTGAGGTCCTGTAAATAAAGAGGTATTATGGGATACAGGCTGTAAAAGAGAGCAACCATCTTTTACTCTACTGGTTAAAGGACATAATGCCACTGAATACAGCCAGGAGAATTACACTTGTTTGAATCAAAAAGTATATGCTTTCCCACATCCTTCACCCTTCAGACTTTTAAGTTCTTATTTTCACAGTTGAGAAGTTTAATCCTCTACTCCATCATTGCATGTGATGAAGGTGAATGGTGAAATATCTGTTATGACACAATCAGTCGTCTTCCAGCCCACCCTGTACTAGTGTTAACAAACCAGTACTAGTGTTAATTTGGTCTTAGCATGAGCAGGGAATAAGATAATATATATATATATAAAATATAATATATAATTAAATATATATATACATTTTTAAAAAGCAAACTTGAAAAGTTTAAAAAGTAGAGTTTAAAACAGTACTGTAAGTTAATAATGGTTAAATTTACTTTTTAGTGAATAATTATGTTTCAAAAAAGGGCAATGACAGAGATTTAGTATTTACAGAAAAACAACTGTTTGGCTATTCTGCAACGAAGAGGAATAAGAAGGCTTTGCGACTGCACAGAAGGTAAGTCCTCTGTGCTAATCATACATATGGTCTCATGTGAGCATATAAAAAATGTGAGGTCAGCATACCTCACAAGCCATAAGAACCTAGAGGAGAACCTCCACCACAACCTTTTTTTGTTTGTTTGTTTCCCAGGAACCTATCTACAGCTCCGTCTTCTAATGAACAAGTTCCTAGAAAACTGCAATCTTCAGTTCATGAGAAGTCCTCTCGTATACATGGATAAATCCCACAGAATTTTCAGTCTGTGCAACAAGTTGTATAGTGTAAGGAAACTATCATAAAAATATATGAAGGTGGGGAACAGTAACAAACACTATCAGCTCTAATGTAATATCATTAAAACTCCTGGTTTTGTGTTTAAATCCAGACATTGTGTCAAAACATCACTGCATGTCTGTTCCATTCTTTTATCATAGGAGAAAATCCTTTCTGTTTTTTCGGCACAGGCATAATTTTTTTTTCACAAGCAGGCATAAAAATAAATCAGGGAGCAGTCTGAAAATTTCTCAAATAAAGATAAAAAAACGGAAGGGGTGTAAGGACGGTGGGGTGGTGTAGGAGAGGTGCTTTAGGCCATATGAGGAGAGTTAAAGACCAGAGGACTTCTGTCCACTTTCAAAACTTGTCAGCTGAAGTCTATCCTATCCCTCTGTCTCTCTGTCAGTCTATCTCTCTCCAGTGGATGATGCCTAAGAGAGTGCTCAGCCTAAAATAGTCCACTGCCAACAAGTCTCTGATAGATTGTATTAGTGTAGACAAAGTGCCACGTGAGTGGCTGCTTAATCAGCCAGGAGGAAAAAAAAAAAACAAACATCAGATTCACAACCACATGCTTGGAAAAACGGTGCTTGCTTACTTTGACAAAAACACTGCAGCAAGGTAAACACCCATGAGAGAGAAAAGAACATGCTTCGAGAACAATGTTGGCACAGCAAATGCTAATAAACAGATCTGGAAAGAAGAACAAAGCTAAAGATGAGACAAGATTTCCAAATAACCTTCAATCAGAGTAGCAGTCCTACTTCTGTGGGTCTAGTCTTTTCAAGGTGAAGCTTGATACATTTATGAGTGAAATTATGTGAAGTCTTTGAAAATGGGAAGCTGGACAAAATGCTGGACTAGAAGATTTTGTGAGTCCTATACAGAACTCCGCATTTGTTTAGCAAAGGACTTTCATGCCAAGTATAAAGGGGGACTTGCTAGAATTAATTTTCATTAGGCTGTATAACAGTCCCAAATTTAAGTTGGGGAAATGTATTTGCTTATGACATTAGAAATGCTGCTGGATAAAGTACCACTGGGAGCTATTCACTGGAAACTGTTTTTCAGGATGGATTTCCGTTCAGATAAATATTCTTCAATTGGGAGAAAATGCTCCTTTTGAATTTCATGTAAGACTTATTTACAATCTCTGTATTTAATGTGTGTTTATTTTATTTTTCTGTCTTCCCTGTCTTTTGCATACTGACTGCAACATAGTTCACTGGAATTTGCTGAAATGAAATGTTAAACAGTTTCTCTCTCTTTTCTTTCCCTATTATGACCATTTAGGTCAAAGATTAAACTTCCCCAAATCTTACTGAGGCATGAACTGTTGGAAATGAATTGTTTTTCTTCTGGAGCAAGAACCTTAAAATCTGCCACACATGTGAGTCAGTATGACTGTAAAATGTAAACTGTGTGCCATTTGATTTTAATTATTTTTTAGTGAAAATGAATGTAAAAAGATTGGATATAAGATACCGTTTGGGTGACAATTTCACAAATTATGCGTAAGTAGAGCTATGTGATTCTGTTATGAAAAAGAAGGGGTAACATCAGAAAAGAGTGATATAGCCTGTTAAAAAGAAAATAATAATGTGTTAAATAGGACTTACAAAAATCAGATTATAAGGCTTTCAAGTTAGGCAGCTTTCCAGGGGTACAAAGAACACTGTCCCTCTTTATATCAAAGTAAACAACTTTTGCACTTACACAGAGTCCATTTACTGACCCTTGGAGGAAACGTTCAATTTTGTTGCCCAACTCAGCTAATTACTTCAAAGTTAAAGGAACAGATTAGTAGAAAATAATTACTCTAATGCTTAGTAGCTGGCTTGAGCTTTGGTAAAGATGTAAACCAACCATTAACAGGGAATAAAATACATTGTCCATTGCCATAGCATTAAAGGTTTTTACAAATCTCTGAAATAATAAAACAATGTTAGCAATGTAAAACTGTTTGAGTTCCCGATAAAACTTAGGTGTTGTTTCAAACAGATAGTTAAGGGTTGAAGATTATAATCTTTTATAGTCAAGGGCAAGATATAATAAGATTTCAGCATCTCTGCAGGTCGATGCTGCAATGACCCTGAGCATAATCCTGATCCCAGAATTAAGTGTCCAGGGCCCTCTACAAAGTGAATAGGAAGAGGCAGGCTCTTGAAAATGGCAGTCCTAAAAATCTCAAATACTGAGATGAAACCTGCCCAGAGTGAAGCGTTGGGAAATGCTAACTGTGGCTGAAATCTTGCCTTTTACAACTGACGGCGGAACTAAAGAAAAATGCTAACTCCTGATAAAGATTCTAAGCTTTGAGCCTGTAACCAGTGTAAATGACTCCAAAAAATCCTTCAAATAATTGAATCAGCAACACTGTTCACCTACAAAAGAGGTTGTAGGATAAGGTGATCTCCTTTCATCTAGCAGCGTCAGCGTTAGAGCATTGCCCAAAGCCAAACCCTTTTATGAAAAGACCTTCTAATCTTCCCTATTGGTGCTACATTTGGATACATAGGACCTACTCATTTTCTTTTTTTCTGTAGTTATGTTACAAATTAGTCTCTTTACTGCTTGCTTTTCTAGGTCATATTTTTATTCTTTGCTGTTCAGGGGCAATGCCTCAGCCAGAAAGCTGGTTACAGAACAGTAGTTTGACATCTGGAATGAAATTTTTCATATTTTAGCTATTTGAAATCATACAGTCTGAGGTAACTGTCTGGGATCCTTCTAAATTCAGAACAGAAAATAGCACTTTCCTTCCACATAGACATCATCTTGGAGATGCTCAAAATTCTGCACAATTAAGCCTAAAGAAACTGGACCTAATGTGAAAGCCAATTCCACCTTGAGTCGGGAGTCATACCAGATGGCTTCTTCTGGTCCTTTTCAACCTAAATTAGTCTGCAATTTCATGAACCTGGGAAGGGATAACACACAGAGCATTCCCAGGGTGGGGCTCAGGATAGAAGGTCTGTAATGGCTTATTTCTGTTGAACTCAAAGAGAGACAAGATAATGTCTTAGACCAATCATTTACATGGCAAAAATAGTGAATTCCAAGGTAGTCCAAGGCTTCTCAAAAGAGTATCCAGGGCTAAATTTTGCTATCTGACAGAAGTTGGGCCTCTCTACCAAGGATGCACAAGAGAATGGAAGAAATAAAGGTGTGAGCAATTTGTTTACAGATCCTGAACCTGCTGAAGGTGGGATGAGGGGAGGGTGGAGAAGAAGACAATGACTTCTGCTTCTGAAAGGGGCTCCTCTCTCCTCTCCCATAACTGCTGCCACAACATGTGTTTTGATTCTCAACTGCAGTGACAATCAGCTCTGTTTTCCAGGACCTGAAATTTGGCAAAATGTATGTGGTTGTTTGCCACTAGTCAGCATTTAATACAGCTATAACTCCCTTTGTCTTCTCAGAGCTGGCCGTGTCTAAGCCCACCCTTAAAATAAACAAGATGTCTTTTCTTCTGTTGAAGAGGAAATGTAAAGGAAGTATGTAAATTCAGTAATCAAAACGCAGATGGAAGGGATACCTCCAAGTCCAGAATTTAAGTTGTCCTACAGATGGAGTGAAATCCTGGAGAGGACAGAGGTGCATGTGGATACTACTCTGCCCTAATCCAAAAAGCAGCTCAAGTCAGTCTAGAGCCCTAAAAATAACAGAAAAGGAGTCTTGTGCTCCCAGTTTCATCAGCTGAAGCCTAAATCCTGAACTCTGTCACCTGGGGATGCTGGAGTCTTTCAGTTCAGCTGCAAAATCTTTCAGATCTGACACCAAGCATTGAGATGTCTGCTGTGATCTTGAGCTCTATTGGCACAGCCTGCATTGTGTGTGTTGTGTACTGCTTTGTCTATATGACTCACGTGTGGATGCAAATATGGCCACCTACTCAGCATTTAGAAAATCCTGAATATATACCTAGTGCCATCTTATGTGCGACTCACCAGGTTCAAGCTCCTCAAATCGTTATTTCAAAGGGGACGCTAATGACCACCTCCCAGAGTCTGAAAATAGGCCTGGTCAAGTCACAAAAGGGTTCTGTGGTTATAGTCCCTTCTGTGGCTGATCCAAAATCCAGCTAGTGAATGTTGAGGGGAATATAAGGTATAATCACTCTAGAAAGACAATAACAACAATTACATCCAACATTTAAATACTCATAGTGTCTTTCTGACTTGCATAACTGCAGCTGTCATCTCCTCTTTGAAGATCAACATAGACCCAGCTCTTAGTGGTTTAGTAAAAAAATGATATTCTGGTGAAATCTGGGGCACAGGCACTTCCAACTCACACTATCAGTAAGTTAGATTTTGAACAAGCACTTTGCATTTTTTTAATCATTCTGATATTTTAAACTTTTGGTTCTTTACAGTATCTTGATGATAGTATTTTGAAAGATCCTAAATTAATTAGGGTCCAACAGAATTACATTCAGAGGACTTTTAGCTTTAACTAGATTTTGTAGATTTTCCCTCATTACTCCTTTCAGATTTGTAATGGTTCATGACATTAGCTTTGATTCCCTTGGGTTTACTTCTTATACATTCTAATATTTGCTTAGCTTGTACAAATAGCTCTGATATTTGCCTTGAAAATTCTTCATCCTAAATGAAAATGGTCTGCTGAATCTTTATTTCACATTAAAAGCTTTTAAAGGAATTATCCCCTGGGCTAGGAAAATCCATGCAATTAACATAACTGTAACCCCAAACCTTTTCAGAGGTTAGAGAAACTTGTGTATGTTTTGAGTTTTTATTTTATTTGTCATTTACCTGCCTTTGCAGTACTTTCTGCTTTTTGAAAGAGCCACAAGCAGTTGTCAAATGGAAATGAATCTGTCACTGAATTGTTCTGATTGAATTAAACCAGCAAATACTGAAATACAGGAGAAAGCCTGTTCCAGTGAGACATCCAAGAGTAGTTACTTGACAGAAATAATTAAATGCTTTTTTTTTTTTTTTTTTTTTTTTTTTTTTTTTTTTTTATGTTTATTTCTGTTTTAAGCACAGTCAGTCAGACTGTTAGGCACTTCTTTGAATCTCCTGGTCTTTCAAAGTTTATCATCTATATATCATAACTTAACTTTATTTATTTATCCTTTCCAAAACACAAAAACACATGTTTCTTGCAGGTTCTAAGTGCCTCAAAATATGTTTTAACTGTGTATTTGTCTATAGAATATATATGCATATGCTGCACCAACAGCATATTCCAAAGACAAATTTTAAAATTGTATATTAAAAAAATACTAAGGGCATAGAAACATAAACACTTAAAAAGAACTGCCTATTTTGATTTTTTTTTCTTTTTTCCCTGTGGTCAAATTAAGTTTTAGCTGGATCTGTATCTTGATCCGGCTTACTTGTCAGGGACCTGAGGGCACTACCAGCCCTGATTGTCCCTGGACGATCTATCCTGGGGGCTCCAGGGTGCCCCCAACACTCACAGTTCCCTGACATTACGATTCATCCAACAGATATCAATCACACTGACATGAGGGAGAAATGTAACCATTTACAAAGGTCATGAAACCAGTGCTTTGGTGTAAACACTTTTTTTAATGATTTACATTTATTTATGATCTTTCTGCTTGGCTGCTTTCCATCATTTTATATTATCACCAAAATTGACACTGTTATATGAGACATAGATAGAGGGGAAAAGTGTTATCTTATAAAAGATGTTACCTCATGCTGAAAATATACATTCACTAGTGATCAATTAAAAACAAACAAAAAACACACTGTTTTTGTTTCTTTATTTTACATAATGAGTTGAAGAAAGTGTTCTCTATAGCACTGCAGGCAGGGAAGGAGGGGAGCAAAAATAGATAGCAGGAAGAGATTTATGAGAGACATTTTTTAAAATAGCTGTGGCTGAAATGGAGAAACAAGACAGGCTGGTTGTACAGTAAAGATGATGAAGACAACCCAAAAATGAATCAAGAGTCTTTGGTGTCTGCCCAAGTTTAAGGGCTTTGTTATTTTGTCATGGGCTGAGCTGCTGCTTTTTCCTCTAAAGTAATGTTTCTGTCATTGTGCTTTTCTTTAAAGATATCTGCCTGCATCATATTGCCCAATGCCGCAATGAGCAGCTTTTGTTGATCATTCTCTCCCACAAAACACATGTGAATTTTATTTTTTTTTTTTTGTCTCAGTGAAGTCCAAACACTGACTCTGTATTTGTGCTTTTAACAACAGTGTCTTCAAGGCCTCTGCATAATATCAGTCTTGAGGACTAGGAATTTCTTACCTGACTGCTAAAGTCCTATGTCTAATACTTCTCTTCCAGACACATAGCTTGAAGACACTCATTTCCAGAAAGTCCAGGCATGTAATTATTGGGATTTGGAATATACCTCTACAAGGATACAGAATAACTGAAGCTCAGGAAAAGCAATTGTCTCAACAAGTTATACTGTTTTTCACAATTATAGCCAGAACAGAAATAGATCAGAAAAACTATGCACCCTCTTCTTAATTTTCTCACTACTCCTGTAGGAGTCTTTGTCAAAAGATCTTCCAGAATGTACAGAATCACCCTCCTTACGTGACCCTCTCTCTCCACTTGTTACCCTTTCCTGCAGTCAGGGAAGTCATCAGACTAGAAGGTCTTTCTGAAATGCCTGGTGAAACCTCCTTCTTTACATGGCAGTTTTTCAGACGAGTCTTTAATCTCAACAGCTGATCAAAATATGTAATTGATTAATTTTGATCGGTCCTCTCTTTACCACATTGACAATATACCCTCTGTAGACCTATTCAAGAATGCATCAATCTCAGAAATTCACTCATCTGATTTGGATTTATCCATCTACCATCAATAGGCTAGCCTATTGTTTATCTATACCCTACTCACAGGTAAAGTAGACAGAAGGTGTTTGAGGTCAGATAACAGACTGAACGCTAGAAAGAAAAGGAAAACCTAAATCCATACACTGTGTCACACTGTATATTGCATTAGAAAAATACAAATCTCTTCCTTTTTCTACAGACACTGTAAAAGTGATCAGAAAACTCTCCACAGCTGTCAGGGTTACTGCTTGCATGTTACAATTTAAAAAACTGTGAGTTAAAGCTTATCACAATGATGAATATTTAATGTAACATCAGGAAAGTTAACAAACATGAAACCTTTGCACCCAAAGTGGTAGTGGAGTCTCCCTCCTTGGAACTCTTCAAAAGCTGTCTGGACATGGTCCTGAACAACCTGCTCTAGGTATCCCTGCTTGAGCAGGGGGGTTGGACCAGATGACCTGCAGAGGTCCTTTCCAACCTAAACCATTCTGTGACCCTGTGAAAGCCCTTGGAATGCACCAAGACAGACGCATTCTTGGATCACACTTGGATCAACGTAGGATCTTAACTGAAATGCTCCAGTACTGATGCACCAGTATGACAGCCCAAGTCTCTAAAGGTGGTCATCAGCTAAGAGAAGTTAGTTTCTCCAGACCAAACAAACTACTGATGGTCCATTGACTTATATATTTGCTTAGATACAAGATAGTACCCTGACTCCACTGAAGAAAATAAGTTTTACTATTATTTTTGCTGTGATTAGGGCTTTTTACTAAAATTTCAGATATAAGTGGGACAAGAATTATATTATTTTGGAATATGGAGATAGTAACAAGATACCAAGTTTAAAAAGGTACCCAGGTTGCCAGAATGGTAAGTTTTCCTCCTTTGACAAGTAAGAAAAAGTATCAACACGGGGACAGTTTCCAGTCTCAGCAGATGCTATGAGGGAGAATTTTGGTGCACAGTTTCCCAATGTAAGCAAGCACCCCTCTCTCTGAGTCCTCTAGAAATGTATACAAGGTGGTATGGACAAGCGCAATCACAAAGTGGGTGAACTCCAGCCTATTATGAGCTTACAAGAGAAAGAGGAAAGATGGGTGAGAGAGCAAAGTTGCTTACATGGAGCTTTGTAATGGCATGTCAAAATATATAGCCCCAACTGTGCTTCTTTGAAGAAATCACTCTACAGGCATCTTCATAGGATTATAATATTTACAGTACCATAAAGCCAAATATTAGTTAAGAGAGAAATATTAGATATCAGGGATTCTTGTCTCCAAGTGCTTCTAACCTCAATTAGAATACATATAGAAAGGCAAGAAGAATTAATTTACTACCAAATCTCCAGCATTACATTTTGATCATTGTCAAGAAAACGTTTCACAGAGCTCCTGCACCAAAACACCACAGCTGAAAAAACACTGCAGCTATGACATGCTAGAATGAGATTCAACATATTTTTACTTGTGATCTAAACTGCAATTGCATGTTAGCCTTAGCATAATTTTTAGTCAACTTTTAATTAACTGATTCTTGGCAATGTTCTATTTCACCTCTTCCCAACATCCTGCTTCCCTAAGCAAAGCCTTAGCTAATAATCATAATGATAATTTTCTAAATTTAGCTCTCATTTGTTCAAGGAATTACTACAGGAGACTGGAGACAGATTTTTAGGACAAATATAGAAGAAAAGATAAAGTCATGGTTAAACTTTCTGGAGGATAAAAGTTGCTTCAAGCTTAAAAGGCCATTAACAAAACTGTCACAGTGGTGGGCAGAGTCAAGTGACTTAGTGGGTGTAGTTGGTACAGTATAGACCCTCTGAAAGAAGACAAGATGAAGATTTATCCAGCAGCAACTTGGTACAGAACTGTGAAGCAGAATTTTGGCAAGGGCTACCATAAATCCGAATGTTCTAAAATTTTTCCATTTCAGATTTTAATAGCAAAACTTGCATGCACCACATGCATATACAGGGACAAACAAACAAAAAAAAGCCTAAAAAAAAAAAGCCTATCTTCTTTGAAATGAAAATAGGGCCATTGTTTTGCAAGAAAAGCTGCAAGTCTTTGGATGAATTTTCAAACAAACACCTAAAGTGCCTGCTTGGTTTCTTATCATTAATCTCTGAAAAAAAAAATACAGCGAAAGAAGTGAGAGGAGAAAACGGGGAACATTGGAATTTCATCTGCTTCTTTCATTCACCTTTTATCATCATATTTAGAAATTCCATAGGAGCTGATAACATGCAAATTACATGCAACTGAGAGTCACAAAAGCAACCTAAAAAATATCTGAAATGGCAGAGATCCTCCTGGAAAAAGTCTTGTTTCTTTAAGGAACAATGGAGATCTTTCACAACTCTAATTGAGGTTAATTGGAGTTACAGGCGCTCAGCAGTTTTTGAAAAAACAGGCAGGAAACCTAAATAAGCATACAGAAACCTAGCAATTAACATTATATTTTGAAAACTTCGTCTTTTAGCTGTATAATCCTCTCTTGTGAATTTTTGTAGGAAATCTTGTGACAGCAATATCTTACTATGTGTTTGGCAGGGGTTTGCTAGGAATTATTTCACACTGAATGTTCACAAAGCAGTGGCTACTGGTGTGGTACAGTGTATATTTCAGGATGTCCTGTATTTATTGAAAGTTAAAGATTCCAATGTACTTCTTACTTAAAATACCTAAGGAGGAATGTAAGTATTTGGGTGGTATAGGATAACAACAGCAAAAAAGCTAATGCCTCAATTACATGAAAATATCTTCTAATAAAATGAAGAGCCTTTCATACATTACTAGGCAAGGACACTTAGAGGAAAGGCTGTGTTGTTGTGACAAAGTGAAAAAATATAGGGACCAGAGACTGGATTTCTTTAGTAGAATTTGTTTGGGTGACCTGAAAAACTGCACCAAAAATATACCACTGAATTCCAGAAAAACAAACAAACAAACAAACAAACAAAAACAAACAAAACAAAAAAAAAAACAGCAAAACCATAAAGAACATTAGTATCAGCAGGGCAGGATCTCAGCATTCTAGAAACTGATGCTCTGGAAGTTGAGTTTAGAAGTTCTTCTTAGAAACACAAATATTTCTACAAACCCATGAATGTAGTCTAATTTATG